TTTTCAAATCTTTTCCTTTTTTCAGTTTTTTTTTTCTTTGAGCATCTCGTTGTCAGTGTCATCACCTATTCGCAGATCTGCTATAAAAAAAAGTTGGCATGTGTGACTTTCCTGTCTTGTGGTCAGTCTTGTGCAGATTTGTTTGTGTTTTAGGTTTTTTTAGTGAGTGTTTTGTGGTTTTAACAGTAGTGAGGGTCACAGTTTGACCTTGGTTGTGTTTAAAAGTCACACGGCAGCAGTGATGGTGTCAGCATCAGGACCAGAGGACCGGCCTGTGGTCAACAGTTACAGTCTACACACCTGGTCTTTTTAAATCTTCAGACCAGAGATAAGTGAACTGGATATTATTTTTTTTCTACATCACCTGCTCTGTGTTTGTCCTCTGAGTGCTGAAATCTGGGTAAAGGGCGACTGGTAACTGAAAACTTTAATCGAAACCATTTCCACTCTGTCTCTTTAAACTGTACAAATTCAGTTATATAAAATTGGATGGAAATATGTGAATATTTAAAGATGTCTAAAGTCTGCAGTAAAACTGTACTTTTCCCGTCGATCTTCAGACTATAACTATAAGAATATCGGAGGTAATGAATGTATTTTGCGGTTAAACAAATGTTTTATGGATAATTTGATATCGTAGATAACACCGCGTTGTGCTATTTTTGTACAAAATATTCCCCCCTCATAACAGAAGAAAAATGTTAATTTATCGTCATTGTAATTTTTGAAAAAGAAAATGAAAAGAAAACGTAATCAATAATAATAATAATCATAATCGTAAAATTATGCATTTATATTTATTTCTTATTCATTAAAAAATAATAAATGTCTTATTACCATGTTTACACCTGGTTTGGTGAAGTTTGGTGAAAAAAAAAGCTCATGTGACGTTCAGTGACTTTTACCTGCGTCTCAATCAGAGTAGACCTGATTGGTCAGTTAGGGCACTGATTTATGACGTCAGTGTGTTTCAGGAAGTGGTTTGGTTGAGGAGTTAAAAAAAGTAGTTTGTTTTGTGGGTTTTTAAAAACAAAAGTGCTTAAATATACAGTATCTCAGTTTATTCAGTTTCCCACTTTCTCTTTACGTTTTCTCTAACTTTCTCTAAACGTTTAACAACATTTTAGGCGAACGTTTAGAGACTATCTTTTATAAACCCTTGCGCCACTGCCAAAGGATTCATTCATTTCTTTAATGACGCAATGATTTACTTTTTTACAGCATTACATTATTTTATACATCTCAGTAGTAACTTAAGTAATGTACGTAATGCGTGCACGGGTGCGGTTACGCGCAGTGTCCGCTGTCGTAACGATGGTCGTGTGGTTGTAGCCGCTGCGTCACACTGTCGTGAATATACTGTAGTATAGTACAATGAAAGGCAACATGTGGCGTAAAGGATTCGTGGGTGTTGTGGAGGAAAACGTGTATTGTTTTGACATAAACGTGGTCACGACAACTGTTGTTCAGTTTTTCTGCCAGCAGGATTAGAAGATAATAAAAAAAAAACAATGTTGTTGGACTGACATCACGTGTAGATTGGGATTGAATGACAAGACAGAAAATGTGAGATTGGAGGGTTTAGTGGTCAGCGCACATGGGATTATGAGGGACTGTGAGTGACCATCAGATTATTACGTCTCATGGTAGACATGCACAGCCCACCAGGACATCTGTGTGAAGAGAAGTGAAGGAAACTGAAATGATTTCTGCTCCAGATTGATCTCTACATGTGTGAGAGTTTGAGGAGAATCTGCTGATAGTAACAGACTCTGTTTGGCTGATGTAAGCAGATGTTGTGACACTAACGCCTCGTGTGCATCACTGATGTTGCATCAGCATCTTACAGAAATATCTCCTCTTCTGTTTTTGTTTTTTTTCCTTTGAGTTTCAGAGCTCTCTCACTAACACAGCGTAGTTTCTCCATTTCACTGGCAAATGTCGCATCAGCATCTTACAGAAATATCTCCTCTTCTGTTTTTGTTTTTTTTCCTTTGAGTTTCAGAGCTCTCTCACTAACACAGTGTAGTTTCTCCATTTCACTGGCAAATTTCACAATAAAGAGTAAGCAATACATTTAAAAAGGCGATGACCCTACGACGTGTCTTGTGATGTGGATCAGCGTGTGTTGGGTTTAAGGACAACAACAAAGAACGTCACTGGATCGGGACTTGAGAATAACGGAACTGAACTTGTTTGTCTATAAAATAGTCTGGTCAAAATACGTCTTTTAGTCCCAACCTGCCTCAGTAGTAGCAGCAGCGAAGGATGTGTCAGGGCGAACTATCCGTGTACGACATTTCAATTGGCTGAAAAAGTCGGTTTAAATGTGATTATGACAAATGGCCTCATCACTAAAGATTAAAAGATTTTTGTAACCACCTAATCAGGTGTTGTAATCCAGTGTCTTCTCGACGCTTCATCAATTCTCTGTTCTTCTCTCTTTATTCATGTCTGTTGACCTGTTGACCCCTGACCCCCTCCCTGACCCTCAGCCTTACTCATGCGTAAGAACAGCAAGGTGACGCAGCGCGAGCAGAGCCTGGAGCATGTCGCAGAGTCTGTGGCTGATCTGCTCGCACACGAGGAACCGTTCGACTACAAAAACAGCTCCCTGAATGTCGGCGCGGCAGCTGGGAAGAACGTGCCACACATAGAGCTGCCTGAGAACGAAGGACGCCCCGCATGGAACAGCAAGCTGGAGTACATCCTGGCCCAGGTGGGCTTCTCTGTGGGGCTGGGAAATGTGTGGCGCTTCCCCTATTTGTGCCAGAAGAACGGAGGAGGTGAGTGGGAGGAGTCTGATCATAAACTGGAAAAAAAAAAAGAAGTTTTTTTTCTGCCATCGCTCGCGTCAAGGTCACTGTGTCAGAGTTTACAGATGTTGACATAAGTCAGGGGTGTCAGGGGCCGCATACAGCCTGATTAGACGTCAAGTGGGCCGGACCAGTACAATCATAACATCATTACCTATAAAGTACAATGAGTCCATGTTTCCCCGGGATGGCCCAGGAGGAGGAGGAGGGCGTAGATGAGAAGAGATGAACTGAAATGAGATAACGTGACATGAGTTAATGATGAGATGATGTGATTGAAATGTTAATTTTTATATCTGATGATATGAGTTCATTAGACAAGACCTGAAGAAAGTGATTGAGAAACTGAAATACTTATTGATGTAACAACAAAGTTAACTTTCAGTTATTACAGCCTCGTCATTGGCTCCACCTTCGATGCCATATTTGTTTTTTAAATCGATCTTATTCTATATTTACTGTTAACCTTTGGGGAACCTGACTGACCCCCAGTCCCACAAACGCAGCGTCTCTGCGTCTCTGCTGCAGATGTGTTTACAAAAGATGAGACTGAATTTAGACGCAGCATTGATTCGAACTGTTGGCCGAGCAGGTCAAGTTTAGAGAGAGCGAGAGAGAGAGATCGATTCAGATGAAGGTAACTCTAAACCAGTGTTTGAGACGCCTGTAATCAGATCTGTGTATGTGCTGTATGTACACGCCTGTGTTCTACCCTGGAAATAGATGTGACATGACAAGAGAGACATACAGCACACACTGCTGCTGCTGCTGCTGCTGCTGCTGCTGCTGCTGCTGCTGAGAGATTTACTATAAAAGTACAGGAGTGATGAAGCGTCGCAGACTCATCCTCAGAGCGGCCAAGTTACATCAGCTGTAAAGTCACAGTGTGATGTGTAACTGACTGACAGCCAATGAAAACCAACTTCACAGTTCAGTGTTCAGGAATGATCGTGGCGTTCTCTTTTGTTCGTCTTTATTTCCTGTCATACTTTTTACTTTACGTTGACTCCGTTATTTATGATCTCTGTGAACTAGAGTGAACTACTGAACCAGTAGTGCTCAAATAGTGGGGCGGGCCCCCCTACGGGGGCGTGGTGAGGTGCCGGGCAGAGGTGTGTTTGGCATGAGAGGGTTCTAATGGAACAAGCCTCCAGTCACTAGGTGGCAGCAACTCACACATCAGGTTCTCAACAGTACCGTATTTTCCAGACTACAAGTCACAATCTTTTTCACCCTTTGGTTGGGTTTGCAGGTTCTACTCGGTGCGACTTAGATATAATTTCATGCTTGTTATTTTCACACTGACAGCCGCTAGGGGGCACTCTAGCTGGCTGGTGCGACTTATACTCCGGAGGGACTTATAGTCTGGAAAATACGGTATTTCAATTCGGGGGTTGGTGTAAAAGAAATCTGTCCTCTAGGGGGCGCATTCAATTCAGGGGTTGGCGTAAAAAAAAATCTGTCCTCTAGGGGGCGCATGACAGTAATTAATAGTGAACCACTGCGTTTGACCAGTGTAGACTCCTCAGTCAGGAATCTCTCCTCTCTTCCAGGTGCCTACCTGGTTCCCTACTTCATCCTACTCCTCCTCGTTGGAATTCCACTTTTCTTCCTGGAGCTGGCCGTGGGTCAGAAGATCCGACGCGGGAGCATCGGGGTGTGGAACTACGTGTGTCCTCGTCTTGGAGGAATAGGGATGTCAAGTCTGATGGTGAAGTGGATTTTTGTTTCATTCCACTGTCAGTGGAGCTGAGCCGTCAACCGTTTTATTAACAAAGTGACAGTGAAGAGTGGAAGGAGAGGGAGAGTCGACTGCAGGGTAACAAATCAAAGTCTGGCTCGTGGACCAATCATGACACTTAGAGGTTTATGTGACCACCGACTTTTTACTATCAACTGAGTCTAATGTGACCACCGACTTTTTACTATCAACCCTTTATTTGTTAGAATTTCCATCACCTTAAAAATATATTCTGCCTTTTTGTCTGTAATTTCCCCTTTAAATCTAGATATTTTTTATAATTGTCTTAGTCACTTAACAATTTTAGTCTTAATGTCATTTTGTCATCATTAAAGCAGGAATATTGTACAGTAGTAACGACAGTGAAGAGTAAACAGCTGGTAATTAGTCGGGGGTAAAAAGTCCGCCTGTCGTTATTTGATTGAAATGCTGAGTCACCATAACAATCAGGTCCTAATGGCAGGTATTACTGTGTTGGAGGGGAAGTGTAGACTTCCTTTACTGCCTGCACAGAAGTAGCTATAAATATCCTACAGAAGACCAGGGCTGAAAAAGAGAGCAGTTTAATTATTCATGCCTTCCTTGGCCTTATTTAGCTCCCGAGTTTCCTGGCTGCCTCGGCTGAGAAGAAGACTGACAGCAACACCACACAGTAGAGGAGACGCTGCCTTATTTGCATACGTCTCTGACTCGGAGCTGATCCCAATCCTGAATGAGTTCCTGACGTTGGAAATCCATAAAAGCAGAATTTATGCTGATGTTTTTTAACGCTGCTGCAAACTAGGAATTAAGACTTTGGTTGTAAAACTCTACGTTTGAGTAACTGTTTTTGTTTGTCTGTCTCTGCAGGTGTGTGGCTTCGTTGGTCTCTACTACAACGTCATCATTGGTTGGAGCATCTTCTATTTCTTCCAGTCCTTTCAGTTTCCTCTGCCATGGAGCGAGTGTCCAATCAGAAAGAATGGCTCACTGGCAAGTAAGTTAACCTAACGAGACCTGACGAGACCTAACGAGACCTAACGAGACCTAACGACCTCATTGACTATTATTTATTTTATTTATTGCATGTAATTTTTCTTTGTTCGTGAAAGCATAAAAGGCAGAACAATTATATACTCTTCTGCTAGGTGGCAGCAGATGGCTATGAAAGCTAAAAAAAAAGATAATCAGAGTTGTTGATGAAGATCTTTGTGTCTTTCTTCAATTCCTGCCAGTATATCAGTGTTGTCTTCAACTAAACAAGCCGGGATTATGAGGTCATGTAAACTACTACTTACTTACTACTACATAGTACTTTTTGTGAGGTTTTTGTTTGGTGGTGTGCCGTGGGGATTTTCCTGAGGATACATATGAGCCGTGGTTGAGAAATATTGGTATAGAATTCATCTCCTCTTTGACGCCTCAGCAGGGTTTTGATCTTCAAACATCTCACCTCACAAATTTTCCTGTGTCTGCATGCATTAAAAAAAATATCCGCACCATCCTGCAATATCAAGTGCGTACACCAGGGCTCATATATCACTTTCCAGCAGTAAGTGGAGCATACATAGCGTGTGCAGAAAAAATATGTCAGGTGTTTTGAATTGGAGAATCATGGCTTTGCATATCAAATACACAGCTGACCTTGTGCAACTCACCTCTCACGTCTGAGAGGTGAGAACCAGGCGAGAATTGAATATTGACCGAGAGCAAACATTCTTTATCTCATTATATTTCTCCTTCTGCCCTCACTGTGAGCTCCAAATCTCCCTGCTGTTTTTTTTTTTTTTTAATCTAAACCTGCATCTTTTGTTTCTCTGTAAATCACTCAGTTGTGGAGCCGGAGTGTGAAAAAAGCTCGGCTACGACCTACTTCTGGTACCGTCAGACTCTAAACACCACCAGCACGATTGCAGAGAGCGGAGGCCTCAACGTCAAAATGACCTTGTCTCTGTTGGTGGGCTGGGTCATCGTCTGTCTGGCGGTCATTAAAGGGATCGCCTCATCGGGGAAGGTAACGTCGAAAACACACGATGAAATAGAACAGAAGTCAAACTGGGTCTGATTTTCCTCCCATCATTCACAGGTGATGTACTTCAGCTCCCTGTTCCCCTACGTGGTCCTCTTCTGTTTCCTGGTCAGAGGGTTGATGCTGAAGGGAGCCGTGGACGGCATCGCCCACATGTTCACGCCCAAGGTTATTCCTACGTAATCATTCCAAATATTCAACTAGAGAACGAGAAAGTCTACCAACAGCCTAACATATCTTTGATGCTGCTGCTGCTGCTCCAGTTTGTATTTGATTCTATCTATTTGTGTGATATTCCTGTTGTTTTGGTCCTGGAGCCTCAGTTTATTAATAAAGTTTTATCTAGCTAGCTAGTTACCAATCTAACGTTGGAGCTGCTGCCGTCATAGTAACGTAAAGGTATTTGTCTGACAGCTGGAGAAGATGTTGGAGCTCCAGGTGTGGAGAGAAGCCGCCACTCAGGTCTTCTTCGCCCTGGGTCTGGGCTTCGGGGGAGTCATAGCCTTCTCCAGTTACAACAAGATCGACAACAACTGTCACTTTGACGCCGTGCTCGTCTCCTTCATCAACTTCTTCACCTCCATTCTGGCCACGCTGGTGGTGTTTGCTGTGCTGGGCTTCAAAGCCAACATCATGAACGAAAAGTGTGTCGTGGAGTGAGTGTGTTTTTTACCGCTGCTGGTCTGAACAATCGGGTTGATTTGGTATCTGAATAATTGACCATTCGTTAAAACTTGTAGCTGAAGTTGCCGTTTTCCCACCACAGGAATGCTGAGAAGATTCTGGAATACCTTCACTCCAACGTCCTAAGCTACGATCTCATACCTCCACACGTGAACTTCTCTCACCTCAGCACCTCAGACTACGCTGAGATGTACGGAGTCATCAGGACGGTCAAGGAGCACAGCTTCGCTCAGCTGGGTCTGGAACCCTGTGTCCTTGAGAATGAACTCAACAAGGTGAGTCTCTGGTGGCGTTCCCCCTCAGGTGACCACAACATGCTTTTATATCCGACTCTGACCAGACTAACCCTTGACTCCAGGCGGTCCAGGGCACCGGCCTGGCTTTCATCGCCTTCACTGAGGCCATGACCCATTTTCCCGCCTCTCCTTTCTGGTCTGTCATGTTCTTCTTCATGCTCATTAACCTGGGTCTGGGCAGCATGATCGGCACCATGACCGGCATCACTACGCCCATCCTCGATGCCTATAAAGTCCAGAAGGAGCTCCTAACAGGTAGAGTCTCCGGGTCGGCGTTCCCTACAGCTCTTTGTGTTTTCCAACTTTTCCAGCTTTTCCTCTTTTTCTCTCCGATGTTTCTGCAGTCTGCTGCTGCGTCGTAGCCTTCTTTTGCGGCCTGTTGTTCGTCCAGCGCTCAGGAAATTACTTTGTCACCATGTTTGATGATTATTCTGCCGGTCTGCCTCTCACGGTCGTGGTCATCCTGGAGAATCTGTCCGTGGCCTGGATTTACGGCAGTAAAAGGTACCTGGTACCTGTCAGTACCAGCAGATCGGTCGGCAGTTGCTACAGAACATACGGAGCGACGTCGTCGTGATGGATGTTTGTCCCTGTGTCTCAGGTTCATGCAGGACCTGGAGGACATGCTGGGCTTCAGACCGTACATGATCTACTTCTACCTGTGGAAGTACGTCTCTCCTTTCTGCCTCATCGTTCTCATCTCAGCCACCGTCATTGAGTTGGCCGTCAGCCCACCGGGATACAACGCCTGGGTCCAAGAGCTGGTCAGTCTCTGTGTGTGTGTGATAAATATATAATATAGTAATATTTATGTATATATATATACATAAATATTACTATATTATATATAGTAAATAGTACAAAATATAATATTTTTATATAAAATATATATATTATATATATATATATATATAATATATATATTTTATATAAAAATATTATATTTTGTACTATTTACTATATATAATATAGTAATATTTATGTATATATATATATATATATAATATATATATTTTATATAAAAATATTATATTTTGTACTATTTACTATATATAATATAGTAATATTTATGTATATATATATATATATATAATATATATATTTTATATAAAATATATATATTGGTGAAAGGATATTTTTAAATTTTTTTTGTTAAAAGTAATTCATCTAATCCTACTGGGACTTCCCCTGAACGCCACTAGATGGAGTAAACTAGTTATGCCCTAGTTTGAGAACCACTGCTCCATTCAGTCCAGCTCTATCTGTGTATCTGTGTATGTGTGTATGTGTGTATGTGTGTATGTGTGTATGTGTGTATCTGTGTATGTGTGTATCTGTGTATGTGT